TTTTATTCTCAAGATTTCACAAAACAAGAAAGACTTATTTTGAGGTTATAAGTGAAGCATTACGAGCTCGATATACCTTATCATCAAAGTCAAAGATTAGCAAAAACAGAAAAGTCAAAGAATTACCACTTGATTGATAGATTAATTCACCTTCTTTTGATTCTTTCGGTTTCTACAGTAATTACAGAGAGAGCCTTTTCAGTAATGAAAATTATGAAAATAAGACTCCGGAATAAAATAGATGATGAGTTTCTTGCAGATAATTTAGTTGTTTATATTGAGAAATACATTACTAGTCTTTTCAATACAGAATCAATAATTGATGAATTTGAATCTAGAAAACATCGTCGAGTACAACTTTCTTAAATAACTATTATAAGTTTTTATTTATTTAGATGTTATATAAAATTATTATCTATTATGAATCTTTTGATCATTGGTTAAACTTAACATACTAGTTTAAAAATTTTTATCTTTTATTTTTTTTCGTCTTTGGCCCCCTAATAAAAATTAGCTAGCTCCGCCCCTGTTTTTGGCATGCAAGAACCAAACAATTATGAATTAAAATACATAAAAAATAAAATAAAATAGAATTAGGAACTAAATAAAAAATTATATTTCCTATTCTAAGTCATGGACAAAATCAAGCGATTTTCTTGGCTTAATTAATCAATAAAAAATAATTAATCATTTATATTTTTAATTTAAATCATATTAAATTCATTAATAAATTAGAAGACACATGGCATTTAGTTCAGTTATTCACATGGGATAATTAACTTTTTTTTCCCAAAACTTTGTCTTTTACAATATATTTATAATTAGATTTGATGTGCAATAGAAAGGAGGAAGAAGTACAGAAAAAAAAAAGAAATTAACTATATTAGAATATAACACATGCATTGCATACGAGTCAAATATAAATTACTCACATATATGATGCGCGTAAAACTTATATCTTTGCAACTCATATGAATAATTTTAAATCTCTTTTAAAAATATTATTTAATTATTTTAAACGTCTTTTAAGATCCATACATAGTTAAGTTCAGAGTTTCATTATATATATATATATTCAATCCCTAGCACAAAGCCCATAAAAGGGAGCCCAAGCCCAAGGAGGGAAAGGGGAGCTCACGCTCAGGCTCTCAAACGCACTGCCTTCGGCGTGTCATCAAAATACAAAAAGGACATATCGTGCTTGGCCTGCCTCATTCGAGAGAAAGTTCCCAAAATCTTCATCTCTTTCTTTCTCTCGCTGTCCCGCTCTCTCTCTAGCTCGGGTAAGCTCTGCGCCTTTCGCTTTCATCTTCAGTAAGATCTGCCTCCATGTAGATTCTTTTACATTTCTTGTTTTAATCTTAAATCCTGTTTTCATTTCATTTTTCTTTCTTACTTGGTATATATAATATGATTCAGTTTTAAATAAATCATTGCAGTTATTTAGTTCTTTTTATATTTCTGGGCATTGATTACGGAATATAGATATATATATATAGCTGTTGCCATCCCTAGATCCGAAAATAATAACTAAAACCTCAACGAAACGAAGCTTTTAAATCCGAACTAAGATCACACTTTTTGTTATTTTCTTGCATTTTCTTAGAAACCAAACAGAAGGTAAGGAGAATTATATCTGATCCCAAAATTTATTTTTGGTTTTTGTGGAGCACCAAATCAAAGTTTTCAAAAAAAAAACTTTAATTTTGTTTTTTTTTTGCAGGAAACTTTGTGAAAAATTGATATCTGGAATATGGGTTTTTTGGTAACGACCCTAATTTTTTTTGTGTAAAAAAAACATAAATTTTTTCCCTGATTTAACTACCCTATTTTGGTATTCTTATATTCTATCTATATACATAGATATTATGCTTTTTGTTTTTGGTACATATTCAATTTATGTTTATTGTTGTGTTCTATCTTAATCAAATTAAACTTCTTTTAATTTACTAAAAAGAAAAATGATAAAAGGTGTTCGTAGAATTCAAGTCTAATGAAAGACTTGCTCCACCTAATTTCTAATCGAATATTTAATGTCAAAGCGAATTACCCTCATCACAAGAATAGAAAACTGACCTAGTTGAGAAATTCTTTCCTGCCATTGCCGAACCTAGCCATGAACTTTCTGAGGTCCAATTGACTTACTTATTGTCCTCTGCCCCTTGTCTTTGCGTATTGAAACTTCAAAACAAACTAAGGGTTCCCCTGGGCCTTGGTAATGCATAACTTTCTCTTACTTTACCAAAACATGGTGTGTCATGCATGTTATTGGTTGGAGCTGTCAACACTCTTTCTAGGCTTAATTCTAATTGGATGTTCATTACTAAATTAGAGTCAAGACCTTTTACTTGACTTGAAGTAGTTCTAGGTTTAACCTGCTGACTACAACAACTCGCATTGCTTAAGAATTACATATTAAGGTTCTGCAATCTTCAAATTAGTATTGCTATGACTGATTCTGGCCTTTACTAAAGGGGTAGTGCTAGTTAAGTAGGAATAGGATTAAGATATTTGTTTCTAGCACTCCACCTGCTAGGGATAAAGAAGATGAACGTGGGTTATACTCCAAACTTGCATCACATTCTATCGTTGCTCCAAACTCATTTTAGCATTACCATATGAGAAGCCTCTTGTCAATGATTATTTCTAGGGAAGAAGCCAATACCATATTTAGACCGATTGAGAAGCATATCTCAACCTTTAATATCTATGGCATCATCTTCAAGCTTTTCCAATGAAGATAAATGTTAGAATATATTTATAATAATCGTAAATGTTTACAGTATCAAGGTCTTTAGACGTATTTTACATATTATATTTTGTGTATTATAATTGGGATGAACTCAAATCAGTTGTAGAGTTTGCTCTTCATCCCTCTCTTGTAAATCCTTGTGTGCTACTTAACAATATGATTTAATGAGGTTGTAGTTGGGATTTCTTCCAGGAATCTTGGAGTGATCAAAAGCTTACTGCAGATTGCACTATATGCAGAAGTGACTAAAGGCTAAGCTTGTGCTAAAGTAATTCTCAAGTGCTATTTTAGTTCATCAAGTATATACAAATGATCACTCTTATATCGTTCCTTTTAAGTATAAAATTTTAGTGTTTAGCACTAAAGTCCCATTGAAGCACGGCAAAGTCAAAGTTACTGTATATCTTGATTTCAATATCCTTTTAGCAACCAGCTGTTTTTCTCAAAGTATTCTTGCCAAATTTCCTTTTATAGGTTCAAGATCGTGGAGCATGAATCAACACTTGTGGCAACACTCAAAAAGAGTTTTATCTTTGTCACATGTTATGGACTCACACATTCAACTCAAAAGACATGTTTATTAGACAGACAAAAGTCCTCACACCAAAACTTATCTCTTCTCTAACTAATGTAAGATTTGTGACATTCTATCCTACCTAAGTATACATCACCCTCTTTGCACTGGTTCTTCCACCTGTAAAGGAGAGGACCCACCTTAATCCAGGCCCTTAATATGTCTTATGTGAGGTCTTACATCAATAAAGGAGTGGGTAGACTCTAATATCACTTGTCACACAAAGAGACTCACTTTAGTTGAAGCTTATCTTGACCCTGATATCTCTTTTGGAAGATCTTACATCAATAAAGGGTTTTTTTTTTTTTGGAATGGTGAATTTTAATTAATGAAGGAAACTGCTAATAAATAGCAGTCTCTCAAAAGAAAAACACGATACCTAAGAACAAAACAAGAAGAAAAAGCTACAAACACAAACACTAGAATAAAAGAAAAAATATAGCAACAACAAAATCAAAAAAAAGCAAAAGCCATAAGAGATAGGAACAGAAGGGTCAAAGCAAAAGGAACAGATCAAAAAACAGAACCAACACCACAGCAACAAAATGCAAGAAAGAGAGGTTATTTGAAAATCTCAACAAGATCCTCCAGACACTCCACACCATCTTTAGCAAGAAGATTGGCAAAATGATTTGTAGACCACGGAATATGAACAACTAACCATTAGAAAAGTTTAGACTTCAAAGAGTTGATCAAGCACAAAATATTCCTAATTCGCCATGGAGTATAAGGAGGGTCATTTGTCTATTTAACAGCATGAAGGAATCAAATTCCACAATGAACTCATGAGAGCTAACCCTAGAGGAAGCAGCGAAGGGAAGCAAGGCCTCCTTTATAGCGTAAACTTCAAAAAGATTAGAGTCCATAGTGCCCATAGACTTAGAGAAAAGGATTTTAGTATCACCATTGTTGCCTGTCAAAGTGCCCCTAATTCCAGTAACCCCTAGGTAGCCTCTTGTAGCTCCATCAACATTAAATTTTATGTTGTCAAGATATGGTTTAACCCAATCAATCATGGGTTGCTTTTTTTTTCTGTGTCAAAGGAGCTTTAGCCAAGGCTATTTCTCTCACAACATCAAGAACAGAAGAATTTTCTAGTGGTCACTTAGCCCTAATCCACCAGCCAATTCTGAATTTAATAGTCTCAATATTTTGAAAGATGTCAAAAGGTTTACCTTTAAAGATAAGGTCATTCCTAAAATGCCAAATTATCCACATGATGGTGAAGAAAGCCATACGCCAAATTGAATTGCTTTCTTCATTAGTAATGACACCATTCTAAGCAAGAAGAAAACATCTCATATTATTGGGGAGTACCAAATTAAGATCCCAAGATTCGATCCAAAAATTCCATAATCTCCATGAGTCGTAGCATTGCAAAAAGAGATGGTCGATCGTTTCAATATCTTTGTTAAGAATGGCACATAAGGTAGCAATACTATTAAATAGACCCCTTCTAGCAAGTTTTGCTCAAACAACCATTTGACCTTTTAATGCTTGCCAGCAAAGAACTTCCACTTTATAAGGAGCAAGGTCAGCCCAAATCATTTTCCATAAGTGCTAATCCGTGCTCATGAACCCAACAGCAAGTTTACAAAAAGATTTAACTGAATAGCCACCATTGGATCTATGTTTCCATATAATCTTATCAGACATCTCCTTATCAAGAAAAATATTATTTAAAAGCTCTATAAGAAGACTCCATTGCTTTTTTTTCCCAATCAAATAAGTTCCTTCTTAAAGGAATTTTCAAATGCCGAACATCATCAATCTAAGAACCAAAATCAATCAAGGCACCATTTTTATCGGCAGACAAAGCATAAATACAAGGGAAGACAACTCTAAGAATAATATTCTCAATCCAAATATCATTCCCAAAATTAATTCAAGTACCTTTGCCTGGCAACAAGCTACTACCAGCTTTAATCGAATAAAAAAACTGAGAGGCATTCCACAAAGGACTAACAATGTTCTTCCTAGTAAGAGACATCTTCCTAGGGTGACAATTCGAAGGAACAAGAGAATTAAGATCCGATCCATACCTATCAACAATGATGTCTCCAAAAAGAGTCCTTTTCATCACCAAAATGCCAAATCCATTTATTGAGAAGTGATTGATTTTTAATATGTAGATCCACAATGTCTAAACCTCCATTTTTTTCAAGAGCACAAGTGGATGACCAGTCCACGTACTAAATTTTTCTGGTTGAGCAATCACTAGACCAAACATCAATAAGGGGTTAGGTTGGTAAGTTTTGCTACTATTTGTTATGGCCTCGTACTTCTAACTCAAAAGACATGTTTCTCATCTCTTACTGATATAAGATTTATGATACTTTTCTATATACATAAATACGAAAGATTGGACAATAATGGCTTGCTGGTAAACATGTTGCTAACTTGATGGCACTACCCAATTGGATTTGACGCGGGAGCTTTAAGTATTAACCACAAAACCAATATCATGCCTTAGAAGATAAGCCTAAAACGTAGGATTGGGCCTAGACATCCGTTCATTGCCAACCCAATAAAAGTAGGATTAGGCCTAACTTGTCAAACTTACACTCTCAAACCCATTCAAACCTTTTCTTCTGTCTCTTTTTTTGTCGAAGCCAATTTGAAAGTCCAAAGAAGCCAATTTCCTTTATTTCTCAAATTCTTTATTGATCAAAATTCAACTTTGCAACCTTCCGAGCAAGCCAACTGGATTCTCCAAAGAAAAGGTGAAAGTGGAAAAATGAAATTTACAATTTTTTACTCATATTCTTCATTTTGTTAGATCCTTTTTGATCTTACAATACTTTCTTGATGTTCTTCATCTCATCTTTCTTTATAATAAAGCAACCTAGATATTAAACTTGCCCATCAAATTTTTATAAGCTCTTATTGCTTAATTTCTTTTGGTGACTGACATTTGTTTCTTTTTTAACAATGCTTTTCCAATCAGATGATGATAGATCATTATTCGATAGCTTTATTTCTGGTGTTTTCATTTCTTGTTGGAGTCTTGGATGCTAGTGCTGGTGATTTTGATCCACGTTACAGGTTTGTCTTTCTTTTCTTTTTTCCCCCATAAACCATTATTCATTTCTTTTGCTTTTTGTGTTTTTTTTTTGCTTTTAATGTATGGATGTTACACCTGTAGCTTATGGATTATATAAGTTGGTTGCATAATAGAAAAAAAATTCAATTTCCAATTATCTTGGGGAAGTTGTATGAGTTACTATTCCTTTCAACGCAAATTATTTTTTGTTATTGATTTTCGACATTGATGCTGAGGGATCTCGAGTTGTTATCAAGTCTTATAAAGTTTGGGACTTACAATGTCTACAACAATAAGCATGTATATTGCTTAGTTGTTAAATTCAAATGGGCATGTATTTGGTAATTGTTTTATTATACCGTTCATGGGTTTAATGATTAAGGGCAGGTATTTCAGATAAGGATTGCAATAGGATACAAAATGTGATGCGTTTGTGTTGCAACCTTAAAAGCTGAGAAAGGAACTTCGCCGATTGTTAGTTTTTTGTGTTCTTTTTGTATGTTCTTGATGCAAGTCCAAAAGAGTTGGCCTTTCATCGCTTATGGTTAACTGCTTTGCATGGGTTATTGGTAAAATTAGGAATGGTAATATTTTTTATAATAAGGTTTCATGTTAAACCCTGAGGATGTACAGGCGACCAGCTGAGTACAGTAAAAGGTAGGAAATGCACGTCTACAGATATGAAAATTTTATTGCAAAACAAAGAAACTAATGGTTAAAGGATGCTAATTAAGGTGATGCCATGTTGATAGCGTGGCCATTGGCTAGATCAAGGGTAATTTCCACTGAATTCTAAGGCAAATTTATATTGGTCACTATATCAAAGTCCTTTTTGGTTGCAATTGTTTGCGGCAGTGAGTTAAGTCATTAGTATTATTTCTTTTAGATTTAATGGTTTTAATTTTAATAAGAGAAGAATACCAAGTTATTTGACTCATCATTGTAGCAAAAAGAAATCTGGCTGGTACTTAGATGCTTGTGTGGTGAGATAAGGTGTTATATAAAATGCTTTAAAACCCTTAAGGCAAGGCACTCAAAACTGCGCATGTTACTTGAGGTGATGGGTTATCAAGATTAGCACGTCACTGAAACTAACAACTACTTTATATGATATTCAGTTATTTGGTCATCAATTAGATAAAATTAAAACTAGCTCCTTTAAATATGTTTCTTTTTTGTAATTTTCTGTCTTTATATAGATATAATATCCATTAATCAATACCCCGTGAGACACTAAGCGTTGGATTGGTCTTTTTGAATCAAAGCAGAATATAAGACTTGGTGGTATTGATATAATTGTCTGACATTGTGTCTTCTAGTTGGCTGCAGGCTGCACTCTACCGCCAAGAAGTTCTATAGATTTAATCCTTTTTCATTTTCCCTTTTTCTTTTTTAATTGAATAAGGAATTCCATGAATCTATTTAGACTCTGCTCAAAGTTTCAGTGCTAGGGTAATTGCATTAGATAGGTGATATGACCTTTTCTCAACACCATAGCTACTTCTTATCTATATTATCATGGGAGTACTTTATGTGGATCATTGATGAGCTTTCTAGGTTCCAAGTCTTTCGATGTTGCCAATTTGCTTGGAATTTGTGATGGTCATCAGCACCTTGTATTTTCTACCCAAAGTCAGCCAAAAAGTATCCTTTGTCTAATCATTTGGGGGAATTATATTTTGAAGGAGAAGTGCACATATATCATTATAGTTTGGGGGAGTTCAACATTTTACTTTTTCAAAGCCGTCCAAAACAAGAGAGAAGAAAGAATAAAAAGATAAAGGAATAAAGTGATTGAGTCACACCTTAGTTCTTTGTATAATTTGAAATGAGGCAAGTGTGCGTGTTGTTATGGATTGCATCATGTAACACTCTTTTCTCTCTGACTTGAAATTAATTTACTCCTGATTATTAGAATTTGACTTTTAAGTAGTTTACAACTTGGAATGTTTTGAATTTTAGGGCTTGTGTAGCACAATGTGAGAAAACTGGATGTGTTGAGGAAAGATGCTTTGCCCACTGCAAGTTTCCTTCTGACGGGGTTACTAGTGATGGTCCATGGTACATGCAAGAACCACTTTACTTGAAGTGGAAACAATGGGATTGCGAAAGTGATTGTCGTTACAATTGCATGATTAACAGAGAGAAAGAAAGAGAAGCACTTGGCGATGGACCTGTCAAGTATCATGGTAAATGGCCCTTCAAGCGAGTTTTTGGAATTCAGGTTTGTCTTTTTTCATGCATTCGACCTCAATAAAGGCTTCTTTTGGATTTTTTTGGTATGTTATCATGGTTTTTTGTAGTATTCATCTTGGCTTGGCCATTGGTTTGCTCAGGAACCAGCTTCTGTAGCTTTCTCTGCACTCAACCTAGCAATGCATTTTCATGGTTGGCTATCCTTTTTCATCCTCCTTTACTACAACTTGCCTTTAAAACAAGATAAGAAGGCATACTATGAGTTCGCAAGCTTGTGGCACATATATGGGCTCTTGGCAATGAACTCGTGGTTCTGGAGTGCTGTTTTCCATTGTCGGTAATCATTTTTTCCATTCACCTCTCCAGCCCAGCTCACTTTTTTTCCCACTCAAATAAATTTGGCTGGCACTTTGCATAAGAAATATGGGTGATTCTTTTGAATGGTACCTGCAAACCTAGGTTTGGCTTTGAAATATAGGTCAATGTTACATGGAATGGACTTTATTTGTTCATTTGAGTGGGATATTTTCTGCATATATAAACATTGCATAACACCAACATAACAAGGGAAATGGCAAGGTACCAGCAAATGGTAGATTTTCTATAAGATAGGCAGACCTGCAGATAATAACATTTCTAACTGTCTGTAATATAAATAAATAAAATAGTTTAGAAAGGGAACTGGAAGAAACTAATCCGGTGAAATAAGATGCTACTTGCCTAATACTGCTTTGTCAAAGTCAACACCTAAACTGGCATTTTAAATAGAACTTAGTCTTCTACATTTTTGCATATCTCCCGTTACTTGGGTCTGTATACTGCATTGCTTCGTGCATGTTCTCAGGTTCAGAATGTCACAGTTGGTTATGTGTGAGACATGGTACATTTAACTTTGTGTTTGGTATTTTGTTTATATGGAATATCATATCCTCTTTACCACATCTAGTTTAAGTGTTCAATAACATGGGAATGTTACTAAAAA